AGGGATCATTATCATGATCTAAGGCCAGTTCCCTACTTCAGGACTCGATTGGGCCCTAAACCCTAAACCCTGATCCCTGAAACCCTGAAAGCCTAAACCCTGAACCCTGAACCCTGAACCCTAAACCCTAAACCCTCGTCCTTAAGTAAGGGGCCTCGGGAACCCAAAGACTAGATGAGGTGTGCGAGGCCTTGCCAAGGCGGCTCCCCACGGCACGCGGGCGCCCAATGCTCCAGGCTCGGGCGGCGATGGCGCTTTGGGGTTTAGGGGTTTAAGGGTTTAGGGGTTTAGGGTTTAAGGGTTACGGGTTTTGGGTTTAAGGGTTTAGGGATGTAGGGGTTTGGGGTTTAGGGTTTGAGGTTTGAGAGTTAAGGGCTTAGGAGCTTTTGAGTTGAAGGGCTGGATGGGGTGCACCCGCACCCCCTCATTCACATTGGCTAGTATCATGTCCAGGCAGTTCGACACTTATGTCATTAGACCTATAGTCCTGAAACGCGTGTTTCCACGCGTTTCTAGGCAACATAAAAAAGGGGGAGGAGGTTGGGGGGGGGGGGGGGTTATTTCAACGTGTCAAGGGCAGTTGTAAGTAGGGTGAGAAGTATGGGAACTATACTTATAACCCTACTTCAAACCCCTTATAGTTGTCCATGAACCTCCAAGTAGGGATTGTGGGGTTTGGGGGACAGGGGTTGAAAGTCTAGTCATGAGTTCCCCAATTCCCCCCCCCCCCCCCCCCCCCCATACTACCCCCCCCTAGGTCCCCCCTTTACTAGCCTTAATTAGGCTTATTTAGCCTTAAATAATCCTAATTCTGGGGGGACCTAGGAGGGTAGTATACAGGGGGTAGTAGGGGAACCCGGTACGAACCAAGAGGTCCCCCGCGGGACTTTCGGGGCCTGGAAGGTGGTCAGCGATAGGGGACTCCGGGTCCCCCGTTTGGGGGTTGGGTGTTTTAGGGCTTTAGGGTTTCGGGGTTGAGGGTTTTAGGGTTTAGGGTTTCAGGGTTTTAGGGTTTTAGGGTTTAGGGTTTCAGGGTTTCAGGTTTTTAGGGTTTTAGGGTCTTAGGGTCTTAGGGATTTAGGGTTGTAGGTTGAGTGTTTCACTGTTTTAAGGTTTGCAGTTTGTTCTTCAACGGGAACTACCTTCTCGAGTGAACTCTCAAACCTTGTACAACACCATGCTTGGCAACTGGGGGCATTGTGTTGAGCTGCAGTTAAGGGGTAATCCTAAATCCTCAATAAGGGTGGCTGAATCGTCTTAGACTGAACCCCAAACCCTAAATAGCTAAACCCTAAACCCTAAATAGCTAAACCCTAAATCCTAAACCCTAAGCCCTAAACCCTAAACCCTAAACCCTAAACCCTAAATCCTAAACCCTAAGCCCTAAACCCTAAACCCTAAACCCTAAACCCTAAACCCTAACCTGTGAGGTGATGGCTGCATCACCAGGATGGCCGGGTGGGACGCGCAGAATCCTGCGAATGCTCCTGGGTACCGCATGTGAGACTCTGGATCCGGGGCAGAAAGCACTGAGAGCCTGAAGCCCTAAACCCTAGGCCTAAACCCTAAACCCTAAGCCCTAAACCCTAAATGGAAACACCGAGCCCAAAGGTCCGGTTCCCCGCACAACCAGAAGCGAATGATGCCCTGAAAAGCCTCCAACAGCCCAAACCCTGAGCCCTGAACCCGGAACCCTAAACCCAGAAGGCTTAACCCTAAACCCTCAACTCTACACTCGAAACCCTAAACCCTGAACCCTGAAATCCCTAAATAGCTAAACCCTAAACCCCAAACCCTAAATAGCTACGCCCTAAACCCAAACCCTAGACCCGAAACCCTAAACATAAACCCACAACCCCTAAGCCATTAATAACCCTAAACCCTAAACCCTAAATAACCCTAAACCATAAATTACCCTAAAACATACATATGGCCCTAGCCCTAAACCCTAAACCCCAAAACCTAAACCCTAATCCCTAAACCCTAAACCCCAAGGCGCTGCGGCCCCGCACGGTTCTCAGCTTCGAGCCCTGGCCGCCCGTAACCGCGATGCGCATCGAGGCCGGAATTGTTGGGGGGTTTAGGGTTTAGGGTTTAGGGTTTAGGGTTTAGGGTTTAGAAACCCTAAACGCTAAACCCTAAACCCTAAACCCTAAACCTCCCTGCCTCCCCTCGCAGGTGGAGCGGAAGGCCTGCGCGCCAGGGCCGCAGGGCGCAGCCAACACGCTGTGAGGGCCCGGTGCTGCGGCCTGGCAAGGCACGGGGCCGGGGGTCGGGGTTTAGGGTTTAGGGCTTAGGGTTTAGGATTTAGGGTTTAGGGTTTAGGGTTCAGGGTTCAGGGTTCAGGGTTCAGGGTTCAGGGTTCAGGGTTCAGGGTTCAGGGCTTAGTTTAGGGACGCGAACAGCAAACCCTCAACCTGAACCTCAACTCTCAAGCCTTAAACCTGTAAACCCGAAACATTTAAGGGGTGCGGGGTTTCGGGCCCGGCCAAAACTCTTAGGGGAACCACGGTCATTGGAGTCGAGAGCGTACTCGTACCTCGCGAGCAAGTGTGCAACCAACGTGGCGTCTTGCAGTTAATCAGGTGAGGTAAATTTGCGTCGTTGTTCAGTGACATACGCAGAGACTTCACTACCTCTTAATGAAGGAATAGTCCTGAAACCATCCAAGGAATCCCGACAGTTTTAAAGGAGTATTCCTTAATTAAGGGGTATTGGAGTCTCTGGGCATTTTAAGACGACCTCTGTACCATCCAGCCAGGGTACTCGCTTTTCATAAGTTCTTGCAACCTCCATGCTGGGCGGCTCGTACAGGGCCTGCTTTTAAAGCATGTCGAAGGGCGGAATCACATTCTGCAGCGGGCGATGACCATTACTCACGACAAGGGGGGGCCAGGTGCGGGGGGGTGCCACAAAATAGGCTCCTAAACCCTAAGCCCTAAACCAATGTTCTTCTGCCCTTCAGCGTGTCCGCATGTCGTGTCCTCGCCCACGCGATGCCGACAGTGCCTCATGAACGCAGAGCATTCTGGGGCAGTTTGCCGATGCAGCGGTCAGAGTCCGCAACAACTGCGCATCAGGGGATTTAGGGTTTAGGGTTTATAGGGTTTACTGTGAACTGTGGAAGTCTAAACCGGGCATTGTTTCGGTGTGCTCGGCCAGCCAAGATGAATGTTCGGTGCGTGCATTTCGGTGTGCTCGGTTAGCCAGGGGCTTCGCAGGTTTGATTGGCCCATGCGTTCATTGGGGAATCCAACATACATATACTGGATTTCAGTTGGTTTGCCAGGGCCAGGTTGACCCTAGCGTTCCTTCGCAAAACTGAGTGTTGCCCATGCTTTGGTGCTGTCCAACAAGACATTCCGCCGACAGCGTTCACTGGGGAATTCTGATTTGGTAGTGCTTTATTCGCCTTCGCTTGAACCGGTGCGTTCATTGGGATTTAGATGTATTTGGAAGGGGTGGTTTCGACTTCCGTTGTCGCCAGTAGGGTTTAGGGTTTAGGGATTCCACCCGTAAAACCTAAACCCTATAAACCCCTCAACCTTTGAACCCCCCCCCTGCCTACAGCTTCAACTGGGGAATACACCTCAACAACGATTACCATACAGTTTATAAGGGTCACATGCGCACCTAGAAGTACCCATAAACATCGTTTGCAGCCTCAAAAAAAAAACGGCATCCAGGCCACAAGCGTGGGTGTCTTATCCCTCTGCCCTAAACCCTTAACCCCCCCCCCCCCCCCGCGTGTTTTTTGGCGAGTCCCCAGGTGAGCCTGCATTTGCAGTAGCCGCCGATGCCGCTGCACAGCACCTCGCCAGGCCCCGGAACACCCCAAAGACAAGCCGTACATGTGCCACCCCAAAGCCGGGTTTAGGGTTTCGGGTTTGGGGTTTAGGCACATGTGCCACCCTAACGTCTAAACCTTGGATGTTGCCCCCTTTTTCTAGCGGTCCTTAATAGGGGTTCTAGTGCCCCTCATGGAAATCCGTACTATGGACTGTTAGTTTAAGGCTTACGGGGGGAAAATCCCAAGCCTCAACCCTAACACTCCCCTAAGCTCTAACCCCGTAAGCGTGAGAACTGGCCAGGCTCGCCCCTTAAAAGAAAGACCAAAGCTTCAGGGCTTGCTTTGTTTTTTTTTTCGGGTGTAGGGTATACTGACCTACACCCTTAACACGGTTAGGTTTAGGTTTCACAGGTTTGTTTAAGCTCATGATAGACTAAGCCCCAAAAATCCCCGGACCGAACGCCAGTTCGGCGTATTTTTCGAAGTTTCCCCTCGCTGCTTAATTATCACTTACAACCCTGGTTAAATTGGTTATAGGGTTTAGGGTCTAGGGGATAATTTCGGCGAATGCTTGAAAGGTAAAAGGCATACCCAAAGCCTAAACCCGAAGCCCGGAACTCCGAACCGCAGCGAGTTTCTGCGGATGTCAGAGTTGAGGGTTTCGGGTTTGTAAGGTTTGGGGTTTTGGGGTTCAGGGTTAAGGGCTGAGGCTTTAGGGTGTAGCGTTTAGGATGTAGGGTTTAGGGTCTAGGGTTCAGGGTTTAAGCTAGGGAATGTTGATGAGTACACAAGAGCCGCTGAGCCATATGGATCCAGCCTCCGAGCCCTGATGAGTTGTCCTGGGGCCTCTGTTGCCAGCTCTGTTGCCAAACCAGACATGAAACAGGTTTAGAGGTTTAAGGGTTTAGGGGTTTAGGGGTTTAGGGTTTAGGGTTTAGAGGGTTAAGGGTTTAGGGGTTTAGGCTAGGGGTTTAGGGGTTTAGGGGTTTGGGGATTTAGGGGTTCAGGGCTTGGGGGATACGATCTCCTCGTAGTCACACACAAACCAAGGCCATCGCAGTCAGAATCCATACCCCCCCCCCCCCCCATAGCCATACTTGAGATCTAGGTATCATGGTATATACCTTAAGCAAAGGCCTATAGTTGAGATCAAGCACCGCATCAACAGCAGCAAGTAGTCTAACAGACTCCCGTGCATTTCTTGGGAGCCATGGCGGCCGCCGCCTCGTCTGATGCCAGGTCTCCCCCAGTCGCAATGTCAGACAAGAATGCGGCTGCGCAGGTCTGAGATTAGGGTTTAGGGTTTAGGGTTTAGGGTATTAGGGTTTAGGGTTTAGGGTTTAGGGTTTGTCGATTGCGGGTTTCTTGCTAAGGGTTTAGGGCTCACGTAGCTTGCTTGCAATCCGTCTCGTTCGATTTCCGGGCCGCACATCCGGGTTTAGCTGTCAGAAGTCTTGGAAAACACCCAGAGTACGGTGTGGGCCCTGTTGCCGCATGCTCCTGAACTTAAGGAGCAACCCTTGCAAAAGAGTAGGGATCCTAATTTGATGTTGGGAATATTCCTTATTTCAGGGCGAAATATTGGAGTCTCAGCTAACCCAAAGGCCCAAGCCTAAAGCCTAGCAGGGTTTCGCCCTAAACCCTAAACCCTAAACCCTAAACCCCAAACCCCAAACCCCAAACCCTAAACCCTAAACCCTAAAGAACCCCGCCTGTGTGGGGGAGGCCTTCACCGACCGGCTTAATGCCACGCCAGCGAGCGGATCTGAGGCCTTCTGGGGGTTTTGGGGGGTCAGGGTTTAGGGATTTTCGGGGTGTAGGGGGTTCAGGGTTCAGGGGTTTAGGGTTCAGGGGGGTTGGGGCTTTGGGGTTTGGGGTTTCGCGTTGGGGGATTAGGGCTGTTGGGTTCAGGAGTCAGTCAGTCAGTCTGTTACAGAGGCAGGGAAGATGATGTTTTTAGTCAGCCCATGAAATCAAACATGACTCTCAAGTTTGGAAAGACTCGGGGGCTCATGGCTAGTTCGAAGTTGGCTTAGACGTATAGCAACTAGACAGAGCACTATTCAGGGTACTGGCAACCCTACTTCTAACTACCCAAATGAAACTCCAAGCAACCCCCTAAACCCTAAACCCCACAACAAATTCCGTAAGCCCTCTAAGCCCCTAAGCCCTAATTCCCTGAGCCCCTACACCCCTTGACTTTGAACCCCTAAACCCCTAAACTCAGAAGGAACCAACGGGGGGTGGAAGGAAGGGGGGCTGTAAGGAAGCCATATTCGCTTATCAGGGCTTATCAAGGCTTATTTGGGATTAATGAGCCCTTAACCGGGGAATATGGAGCACTTACACACGCCCTAAGCCCTAAGCCCTAAACCCTAAACCCTAAACCCGAAAAACGAAACCCTCAACCCTAAACCCTAAACCTTCCACCCCTCTTGGTTCCTCATGACAAACCGCGCTCCCGGTACCCAGGCGGATCGCTTCCGCGAGGCGGACGATCGGCTCAAGGGCCTGCCGCCGGCCACGGTGAAGGCGCTCAGGGCTTACGAAGCCCTAAACCCTAAACCCTAAACCCTCAACCCTAAAACCCTAAACCCTAAACCCTAAACCCTAAACCCTAAACCCTAAACCCTAAACCCTAAACCCTAAACCCTAAACCCTAAACCCTAACCCTAAACCCTAAACCCTAAACCCTAAACCCTAAACCCTAAACCCTTCCTTCGCTCCTGAAAAAGGGGCCTCCCGGCTCCCAACTCCCCCAAAGTAAATAACGGTTGGAACAAACGCAGTAGAATCCCAAAACCCCATAGTTAAGGAATGTGGCTTTGAATCATGGGATCCCTATATGGTTTCAGGAATACTCCTTAATTGAGGAACATCCAGACCCCAGGGTACCACCTTAGGGGTCCAAGGTAGCGTACCATGAATAAGAATCCATGAGCCCGGGGCGTACAACCTGGGGGGGGGAGGGTGTGCAACCTTGATCGCGATCTGATAGGCGTTGCAGCGCTTCGGGGACGCACCCCCGCCGGAGGTCGTCACCTGCATGGCACCTCTGATTGAATCCTAATCCTAACCCTAAACCCTAAACCCTAAACCCTCAACCCTAAACCCTAAACCCTAAACCCTTTTCGGGTAGATTTTGGGTTTCGGAGGCGGAGGAGGTTGTGGTTTGCAATCGCAGGAGGGCCCCATACTTCGAGCATCATGGGTCGATGTCAGTAGGGTTGCAACCTAGAACCCCCCAAGTACCCTTTAAGATCCCCTAAATACCCCCATAATACCCCCATTAACGTACACTGAGGGCCTTATAAAGGGGTGCAGGAAGTACCCCATTAAGGGTATATGTTATGACAATTAAAACTTTTCTCCTAACTACCCATGAACCTCCATGTACCGCTTGCTTGAGGGAATTTTAGCGGTATCTGACATCTGAGGCAACAAGGAGTCCACCCTTAGCTTGCCAAGCATCGAGTTTTTGGTGGATATGGGCTTCAGAGCCCCCAAACCCCCCCCCCCCCCCTCCCTCCCAGACGACTAGCCCTAAACCCCAAACCCTAAAGCCCTGAACCCTAAAGCCTTCACCCCAAACCCTAAAGCCCTGAGCCCGAAAGCCCACTAAACCTCAACCCTCCATCCTTCACCCTAAATCTGGAAGTTTTGCAGAGACCCAAGCCCACGACCGCTCCCTTGTTCAGGGACTAGGCCTTAGCCTATCTTCCCCAAAGTTGTACATGTTTTTTAAGACGCAGAGTGGGCCTTTATTCCCTGTTTTAGGGTGTAGGTTCCCTCCCCTTTGCAGTACGGCACCTTATAAAGAAAGACTCCCCCCCCAAAAAGAGGACCCTAATTTAGAGAGCTACCCACATACATGTATACATGCATACCTACCACTCTTGAATACCTGGCAAACGTATGAGATACAAGGCCTACAAAAATGTGTGTATATAACCCATTACACGGTTTGAAAAACACAATGAATCTTACCAAGGGGGTTGCATAGCTTACCCAACAAAACCTGGAAACTGTTGTTGAATAACATTTTGTACTTTTCAAGCTTGAGCACTTTAATTAGGATGCAGTTCCCAGGTAGACCCGTCGCATATAGTATGGCTGACTTTTACCATTCTTGGGTGGTTAAAAGCAGTTGTTGCTGCAAGTCAGTAGCAAAGCAATATTGTCGTGCATGTTGAAGAAGACTACGGGGGCTTGAGGCATGGATTAGGGTCTCTTTTTGTTCCCCATATACTAACAGTCCTTAATCGGGATTATAGTACCCCCTATTATCATCCCTATTCAGGACTGTTAGTACAAGGGGGAACATCCCAAGTCTCTTCCTCAAACCCTAAACCCTAAACCCTTTGGGATCTCTGGGAAGCCAAGAGTCGGGCCAAGGAATGCTGGACGCTGCTGCATGGTGAGGCGCTCCCTTGTTTAGCAAGATGTCCTTGAATCCTACTTTAGGGTTTAGGGTTTAGGGTTCAGGGTTTAGGGTTCAGAGCTCTAGCCACTAAGCCAATTCAAGAAGTTTCAAGCCCTGAGACCTTTAATCTTAAACTGCAGACCATGTAGTGTTCGCTTCATATAAGTCACCTCCACCTCCCCCCTAAGTCACCTCCACCTCCCGCCTCCCCCTAGGTATGGTCACGGGCCGCAGGCTCGACAATGAAAAGCCTCTGTGGCTTAGAAGGCCAAATCGCGCGCATTCAATTCGAACAGCGGGGTGGATTTCTGGAAGAGCTCGTCACCTCCGGGGGAACGTGCGCTCTATGAAGTCCTCAACAACACAGAATGCATTTTGGCCATCAGAACCCCAGGCCCGGACTGACAACAAAGGGTGTCGGGAAAAACGCATGTTGGCTTTCCGAATCTGTTTGAGAGGCTGATGCAGATCATTCAGCAAGCCCAGCCAAATGTGGTATCGGAATCCTGTTGAACCGCTTTGGGCTTCATTTCATGTTGCGCTGAGCGTAGCTGGGTCTGTCCCTGTGCTGGCTGCCACGTCATGAAGAGACTAGACAGCGATCTTCGGTGGATGGACGAAATCTTGCACCGCCTGTACATTCGTACTTCAAACGATTGAGGCATCAAGCCCCGCACCCCCTGCTTAACATTGGCGGCTAGGACTACTTGAGCGGTGCAAGATTTCGACCATTGGAACAAATCCGGCCGCTAGCTTTTCACAGCCAATGTTAAAAAGGGGGCACGGGGAACACAAAAGGACGTGTCTGAAAAGCGGTGCAAGATTTTGTCCATCCACAGTTGTGCTTCAAATGAAGGCCAACGCCAAGTCACGCGATTTACGGGCTTCCTTTCACAAGAGAATAGACTGCGATTTGGGAGCGTGGGCCGAAATCACTGGCGATTTTGCGATCTGCTACGGCCTCTGAACTTACCCTGCCCCTCGCCTTCAACCCCAAACCCTCAAGATTGCCTTGGGAAGCCCTAATGCCGAAAACCTGATTAAGCACACAGACCTTGTTTCGCGGCGCGCTAGGTATCCGTAGCCCCCTCGCCCCCGAAAGTTTTTGTGCTTTCTCACTTGGAGAGGTTTCGGGGACACTACTTGGAGGTTCATGGGACTTAATAACCAATTAGAACTGTACTTATAACCCTACTTATAAAACCCTAAAGGGCCGTTTAGAGGTTATCCGAAGTATAAGTAGGGTTTTAAGCCCAGTTATAAGTGGTTGTTAAGTCCCATGAACCTCCAAGTAGGATCCTTGGCAAGCAGCCAGGAACCCGGGGTACACTCATGCCTGAAACTGGCCGAAGATCCGGCCGCGCCCTCGGTTCGGGTTCGGGAAATTGACGGAGACTTTGGGGGCTCTACCCTGCACACCTTCAACCGAAACCTTCAGCCCTAAACCCTAAACCCTAAACCCTAAACCCGAAACCCTAAACCGTAACATCTAAAACCCTGAAACCCGCTTAGGATCCAGGCTTCCCCCTCTTCTTCAACGGACTTTGGGAATTCTTCAGGGATCTTAATTGCAGCCTTGGGGGGGTCTGAGTCCAGATCCTACAGTGTAGGGTCTAGCTTCAGGGTGTGCTGTAGGATTTCTAGCATTTCGGGCGTTTAGTTCGGGTTTAGGGTTCATAGGGTGTAGGGTTTTGAGGGTTTTGAGATCATGGAGTTCAGGGTTTTTGCAGGGTTTAAGGGTGCTCGGATCGAGTTGCTTTGAAGCATCGGTTCCGGTACTACCCCCCTCTATACTGCCACCCCCCTAGGTTCCTTAATTAGGCTGAATTTTCCCTAAATATCTTCATGATGCGGGGAACCTAGGGGGGGGGGGTAGTATAGAGGGGGGTAGTAGGGGAACCCATGATTGAAGCATGCTCTTGGGGGTCGGCTTGACCCGGCTGCGTGGCGGCGTAGAAGATTAACACCAGCACACACAAGGTTTGAGTGTGCCAAGCTTGAAAGGTTCATGCAGTCGCCAAAATGGGCTGATTTCCCGCACATGCTCAGCCTTTTCCAAGGGAGGAAGGCTGTCCTCTAATAACATATGTGCTGCAGATCAGTGCTACTCCAAGTCATCGGGTATCCAGCTCAGTGCTGGTCCACTGACATTGCGGCGCGGTCTGAGCTTGTTGCGGCAGTGGGTCAAGGATCAGTGCGATCCGGACCCTTGGCACCTAGGGGCTCAATAGCGTGATTTCGTTGATGCTTTAAGGGGGCGGGGGGTTAGATCCCAAGACCTTGAACTTTAACACCCAAAACCCTAAAAACCACAAGCGCTTCCCGGAAAAGCCCGTGAGCTTTTACTAGCTACTTTGGGGGTTGGGCTGCTGCCCCGGGAAATCTTTGTTAAACTTCCAGATGTGGTAACTTAGTTTAAGTTGTAGCTGAAGAAGCACGGTGTACCTCCCTCTGTTGCGCTATAGGCTATACATACATTTGACATGTCTGACAAGCAAACCCAGAACAAGCCTCCCTAGACTTCTACCCTAGACCCTGGAGCTTTTTACGCCTTAACTGGGTAGGCCCTTGGGATATGTTATATTTTCCCTTACTGGGCTTAGTAGGATCATACTTAGGAATATTTTTCAGAGGGTCTTAGGTGTCATCCTAGTTAAAGCCTGAAGCTCAAACAGCCCAGTCTGAATTCAAGCTCGTCGGGGTTTCGCTCCTGAACAGCCTGCGCGAAGAGGACGGCCGCACACTCGTGGGGTTTAGGGTTTCGGGTTTAGGGTTTAGGGTTTAGGGTTTAGGGAGTTTAGGGTTTAGGGTTTCGGGCTTTTCTCCTTAATGAAGAGGTTTGGGGTTGCGGCGAAAGCCTGCTGTGTCTGGATCAGTTCTGAAAATCTTGTAAAGTATGGCATACAAAACATTTTCAACTGTTGCAATAAGTTAACAAGGGCTGGGGCTATTCATGTACCGCAGTCGCTGAGTCGAGACCTTCGGAAACTTTGCAAACCTCAGCATCTGGAGCTTGTGAACCGCCAGAAAACTGCTAACTCTGTAATGCGTTGGCAGTTGCGGCACTGGTTGAATCTGCCTTTCGCTTGGAGATCGTTCTGGAACCTGTGCGCAGACAGAAAATCTGTAATCATCTGACGTAGAGCTCCTTTCAAGGAATAGACGTCCCGTCCCCGCGAAACCTCTTCTCTTACTGGGTCTTAGTCAAGCAATATCAGGTACCCTATACACTCCCGTAAAGGATAACACAGGGGATATAGGGTTCCCAAAGCTCTAATTAACCCAACCCCCAAACCCTACATTTAAACCCTAAACCCCAAAACCCCAAAACCCTAAACCTTAAACCTGAAACCCTAAACCCCTAAACCCTTAAACCCCAAGAATCCTAAAACCCGAAAACCCTAAACCCCAAACCCTAAACCCTAAACCCTGGCTCACTGTAGGAGGTCTCGGAGCTGGAAGCCAAGACGGGCGGCCTGAGCCTGCCGCCGTCTGGCTGCGAGTTCAGGGGTTTATGGGGTTTTGGGTTTAGGGTTTAGGGTTTAGGGCTCAGGGCTGAGGGCTTAGGGCTTAGGGCTTAGGGCTTAGGGGCTTCGGTTTAGGGTTTAGGGTTTTGGATTTAGGGGTTCAGGCCTACTTGGAGGTTCATGCGAAAATCTAAGTAGGTAGGGTTAATAAAAGTACCCCGCAAAGGACTTCTAACCCTACTTATAGCTAGCCATGAACCTCCGAGTAGGGTTTAGGATCCGTGTTTTGTTCGGGTTGAGGGCTTTGGGTTTTGGGTTTAAGGTTCAGGGGATACGGGAGGGTGTAAG